GTTCAATCTGGTCCTCTGGACATTCAAAAAAACAAAACGAAGCAAAACAACAAAAAAAATGTAGAAACGTTTCGTCTTTCATCCGAAAGACTTCCTCAGTCTCTGAGGTCAGTCAGACTGAGGAAGTCTTTCAGATGAAAGACGAAACGTTTCTACATTTTTTTGTTGTTTTGCTTCGTTTTGTTTTATTTAATGTCCAGAGGACCAGATTGAACTTTTTTGGACTGAAGTAGAGATGTTTTTTCGTATACTGTACATGACCTTAGCACCATTTTCACCTCCATCCATCCATCCAGCATCCATCCAGCATTCATCCATGCATCCATCCGTCCATCCATACATACATACATACATACATCCATCCATACATCCATCCATCCATCCATCCAGCATCCATCAAGCATTCATCCATGCATCCATCCATCCATCCGTCCGTCCGTCCGTCCATCCATCCATCCATCCATCCTCTTTACCCGCTCCTTCCTTTTCGGGTCATGGGGGTCACTGGTGCCCATGTCCAGCCATCACCTCCCACTCATTAAAATTATTAAAGTAGCAATGGTAAATTAAGACTGTAAGGTTGCTGAATCATTGAATGAACAATGCCGTTAAAGAAATAAAACAACTCACTCAACCTATTTTCTACAAACAAGCTTTGAGTGAAATAATGTACAGTTTAAGGGGGAGTGGTGGCGCAGAGGTTAGAGAAGGTGGGCCTGTGATCGGAAAATCGCCAGTTCAAGCCCCGGTACCGACAACATCAAAAATGTGGGTGGGGTAGGTGAAGCACCCACACCTGCCCCCACCTTCATTCGCCCCACTCTGGGCTCATGAGCAAGGCCCTTAACCCCCATCTGCTCCCTAAACAGGTCTCTCTTGAAAATGAGTTCTCGTGGTTCAATGAGACTACTTGTATAAATAAAGGGCAAATAAAAAAATGTAAAAAAAATTAAGTAAAGTGACATTTCTGAAACTCATTTTAATGGCTAGAAATGATAAGTTATCAAAATGTGGTTGGTCTTTCTTTTTTGATGTCATTAACATACAGCTTTTGCGATTTGGAAGATTTTAATACAATGAAAGTCAGGGTTAAGAGTGTGAGTGAGCTAATAAACCATCCATCCATCCATCCATCGCATGGCATGGCATGCATGCAGACTCACCCATTCAGACTTGCACGCACACACGCTTACATGTCATTCATGGATGACCCAGGAGCTACTACCACATTGATCAATCAATTGTTTGGTCTTAACCTTCCTGCTGCTCTTGGGTCTAAATGACCCAGAAGGCTTTCTAAAATTGAGGCCTGATGGGGCATTTTGACTCAAGGACAGCAGGAGAGTAAAGTGGTCTGCAACAGAATAAAGGTGCTTTAGCATTTGTTAACAGCTGTAGGTAGATCAACATCACTGCAGTAAGACAGTGAGGATGTTTAGGATTTTATGAAAGGTGGTCATTAAGAAGATGTCAATGATTGGAGTAAAGGATGGCAAGGGGAAGTATAAAGGTAATAAATGGGCAAAGTAGATTGGAAAAGGGATAAGAACGAAGTGAAATGGAAAAACGTAAGTGGGAAATTATGAGGGGTACTCATCTACTCACACACTCATATTCGTGCTGCAGTTGTTCGACGTATTGTTTTGCACTATTGGTGTTTAGCGTATTTTTTAGTTTAGCGCATTTCTTAGTTAATATCTTAGATCCTTATTACTGTTTTTTTTGTTTTTTTTACAATTGTTAGATGTAACTGGGACCCTGTGTACACAATTTCGTTCCACCACATGTACCACATGTGATGCGAATGACAATAAAGAACCTTGAACTTTGAACCCAGCTCAAACTTGGAGGTCTTTTTTTGTGTGTGTTTTGGAATTTTTGCAAATGAAGAAGGAAGGCAAAGTCCCATCTAAAAGCAGAAGTAAAAAGAGAGTGAGAGCAGACAGACAGAATAAGAACATATCTTTTTTTTAATACCACCTAACACCTTCTTTCACGTTTGTCAGTGAGTTGATGCTTGGATTGGCTGTTTGGCAACACTTCCTGGTGTCCATCCAATGTCAGGGCAGTGAACCTAGAACCAGGAAGCACAGATTTACATTACAAACATTATCTTACTAGCTCTGCAGCTAGGCCAATATGATTTTGGAGTTATGTTTTAAAATAAAACGGGCATGCATTTTCCTTCAAACCATCCCTTAAATATGTTTCTGTCTTTCTGTTCCAGCAGCTAAAATTTCTCAGGCTTTTCTCTTCAGCCTCAAGCTTCTTATCAAATCTTCCCCCTCCCCTTCTCGTTTCTTTACTAATCCTCTATGGTAGCGATTATTTTCTGTCTAATGTGTGTTGGTGTGTGCACATTTTTCAGGAGTGGAAACGAGGAGAAGCTAATGGCCTTGCTTACGCCGCTCAACGTCAACTGCCATGCGAGCGATGGCCGCAAGGTAGGAGCAAAGTGCATGCACACAAGGACACTAAGCTCATCGCAGGCATTTTCAATTTCGAAGGGTCATTAGGATTATAAAACTGACCAACTTGTGGACTTTTTATTTTTTATATTTTTCTTTTTTGTCAGGCGGAGAAGTGAAACAAATGCTTGCGCTCACAGCTGTGGGCCATGGCTGTTTCAGATAATCTGAGCACTCACCAGCAGGCATCGGTGTCCTTTCACAGCTGTTAGTCATTAAAATGAATAGACACACTAAGCCATAACTGAATAAATGAGTGCTTGAGCTGTACAATAACTGTGTTGCACAGTACAAAAAGATTCTTGCAGAAATAAGGCCAAACCAGTAGAAACTTACGTCAATGCCTGTTGTCTTTTTTTCTGCAGCTTACATGGACTATAAATCTGTTTGCATGATTTATAGCTCCTGTTGTCAAACAGAGATGGCAGGCAATAAGGTTTTTTTTTCTTGTTTCTGTGTGTGTTTGTGTGCCTGTCTTTTACCAAAGTATCCAATAAACCACTTGACAAATTTGAATGAAACTCTCGGAAAGTCAATGGGTGAACATCTACAACTGAATAACTTAATTTACAATGGTTGACGCGACCAACTTTATAGGAATTAATCTAAGTTTTTGCATTGCTCTAGCTGAGATTGATTTTTTTTTTCCTCCCTTGTCCTGTCTACCATTGTGGCACTCAGAATTATTGTCTGAGCGTCAAGGTGATGCCCAACAGATTTACTTTCACAAGCAGAGCATTATGGCTGGCCTTAATGCTCCACTTGATATATATATAAAAAAATAAAAAAAAGAATTTGCTTTGTTTACATTAAAATAAACAAAAGTGCTATAATTTAGTCAATTTTGTGAAACTTTGATGTGGTACTAACTCAGTCATCCACAACATATACTCTTGAGGGTGACATTTTGCGGTGTCGTATGTAATTATGCATACTTTTTTAAGGTTTGACTAAAAGGACTACAAGACCTTCTTTTTTTCAATTTGGTGTTCATACATTAGATTTATTTTTACCCAACTTAATTCTTATTACTGAGCTGAGCAGATGGCAGTTGTACAGGTTTATATATAGCCATGAATAAATTTATTTTCCCAAAAAAACTATTACCTCCCAAGCCAAATGAGAGGGAAGTGTTGCAAATTGGTTTGCACAGTTAAAAAAATCCCTGAAAATGATTACCGGTACCCATATTGGTTCTTACCCAAAGTAGAATGACTGAACTCAAGAAAATCAAATCAGCAAGTACAGTAGACTCAATCAGATGAGACAGTTGGTCTCACAAATGCTTCTGGTGGGGCATGGAGCCGGGTGAAGAATGGGACAAAATCAGATTGCATCTGTGCAGTCAGAGGCTCGTGCAGGAGGGGCATCTTAGAGAAAGACTCCAGGGCTTGAACTAATGCTTGGTGTGCTAAATGAAATGCCAGGTATGACAAAAACTGCACAGGCCTGCCAAGAAAAGCCCTGTTTTATCATCCTGTGGCTCCAAGATCCCCATCGAGCTTGTAGAAAGTCCTGAGCCTTAGGTTTAACTCTGTTGTTCTCCAGCCATATGTCTAGTTTAATGTTGATTATTTATTAACAATTATTTAACCAGGCAAATCCCATTGAGGTCACAGATCTCTTTTGCAAGGGAGGCTTGGGCCTGAAGGCAGCCTAACATGCATGTTTTTTGTCTGTGGAGGAAATCAGAGTACCTGGAGAAAAACCACGCAAGCACACGAAGAACATGCAAACTCCACACAGAAAGACCCCAGGTCCAACTGGGGATTGAACCCAGGACCTTTTTGCTGTTAGGCAATAGAGCTAACCACTGGCTTGTCGTGCTGTTGAGTCCCCATTAGTTCCCAAGATGAATACTTGGAAGAAAAAACTGACATCTCTCCACTGGTTTTGTGTTTTCTATCTTCAAGTGAAGTAGTTCCTCTGCTCTCTACATAATTATCCCCCCTGTCAGAATGACAAATTTATAAAAACCTGATTTTTCTTGAGAACAAAGCTGCACTGAAGCACTTCTCAACAGAAATGATTCTGTTAATAGTTCTTGGGTTAATTTTGAATTCTATTGCCTCCCTCTACAGTTAAGTTTTTAAAACAGCACTTGAATTGTTTAACTAAAAAGCTACATGCTATTATTCTGTATGCCTTCGTACAAGCTAAATCTCAGATTAAAGTGGATTCAATCAGATTCCGCCTTTGTTATTGCAGTCAGAGCGTTGATGTGTTTGCTTGTGTCAGTCTGTGTGCGTAATCTTTTGTCTTTACCATAATCAGCTTAATTCAATACAAAAATCAATATAACGCCATCAATTTTATAGATACAGTTTATATTTTACAATTTATCTTTTTGTTATTGTTGGATGTAACTGGTACCCCGTCTACACAATTTTGTTCCACCTCATGTACCACATGTGATGGGAATGATAAAAAAAGAACCTTGAACCTTGAAATATAATAATTTGTTATGTATTGTCATCATTGTATGTTCCCATACAATGGCGAAATTGGCTCTGCATTTAACCCATCCACCACCAGGTGGTGCAGTGGGCAGCTATTGAAGGTGTCTGGGGAGCATTTGGGGATAGGGTGTGCTGCTCAGAGACACCACGAGATGTGCAATGACTGGGGACTGAACCTTGGACTTTAGGGTCCCGAGTCGGCTGCCCTGCCTCTACCCTGCCTCTACCCCATCTCGGCCCCTTCTTTGAGCTTGGCGTTGTAGTAATCCTCAATGTATACTCAGTGGCAGTGCTACCCAATGCACCGGCTTCATAGAATGCTAAATCTTTAATTTAAAGATGACTTTTTATTGGACACTGAAGCAAGGTTCACTTTAATAAATTGGTTCATTGGAACTGTCGGCAATCTACAACCCAAAGAAAGCTTTTTACCCTTTTCATTTGGTAACTGTCATAAATGTAGTAAATGTCATAAATGCCACGTGAGGTTTGAGGAGGCTTCTTTTCTCTAATTCTGGCTACCTGAGCATTGTTGATGATGTTCGGCTGCATCTTCTGTTCTTTGTGTTTCTTTATTTTCCGTTTGACAGAGAGCGTCGTCTAGCTGGTGCCTGTCCAGGTGGTCTGCTAGGATGCGATACCCCGAGGGAAAGCCATGCATTTTAAATTCTTTTAGTGGAGCAAGAGACATGAGATCATTTCAAAATGGCAAAATTTAATGAACCGAGAGTAGATTAATGTGACCGTACCCAGGAAATAAAATTGTGCTCTGACTGATACTGAAATGACCTCCTCTGTGCAGTCTTCATTTTAGATGCTCTTTAATTGTACTGACTGAGAGCAATCATGCAGAGTGCATCTAATAAGTTTTCCTGCCAGTTTAGTTTCAGCTCATTATGTCCTGGGAAGTTACTACTTGTACAGAAATTACTGTGACTTCTGCTTGGTAAGAATAGGTAAAATATGAATAGATAATAGAAAATAGAAAAATCTGCATGTTTATTACATAACTACAAGTAAAAGGTGAACGTGTTACCAGTCAGAAACATCAGTATAACAAAAACTTGAAGTGCTTACAAGTCCCTGAGATTTAAAAGGTATTAAACTATTTGCACTTTTGGTTTTCACATATATGCGTTGAGTGCCATTTTGTCATAAAAGCGTTTCAAATATGCACTGCTTTTCAAAATAAACTGACTAAATCACCTTTTGATGCATTTCTATGCTTAGGATTTTGCTACAACAATGTAGGTGTGATTGTTTTTAGCAGTGTAGCATGAATTTGAACATTTCAAGTTTTATAAACAGATCATGGATACAGGTGTGTTAGTTTGAAATATGAACAACTGTTAATCTAAAAAATATAATGAGGCTTCTATGTTGGTTTTGCTGTTATAATTACATTTACTCATTTTCTCTCAATGTTTGAGCCAATGAGAGAAAAATGTAATCATTTGTATTTAATCTTCAGCTAATTTATTTATCAAAATCCTAAACTGGTCCATATCACTCCCGTTTTGCTCTTTTTTTTTTTTGTTTTGTTTGCATTGTGTTGGACAATATAAGTGTACTGTACGTTGTTTGTTTTGTTAAGTTTATTTAGATTGATAAAGCATCCTGTTAGGGTTTTAGAAAATGGCGATATTGTAAAAGTTTGGTGCTTAAATGTATTATTGCAGTGTTTCATCTGGCAGAAAGCAGTGAAGTTGAACATTATTTGATGAGTCCCTGTGGCTCAATGAGGCTAGCCTGTATAAATAAAGGTTGAATGAAAAAAATAAAATCAGGTATCAAGATCATTCTTTCTTAAGTTGATTAATTATATGCTCATTGCGAATCTCAAGAGTGTAATACTGACTTGAATAAGCAGCTTAAATGGTTATTTTGTTTTACTTGTTTTATACAAACAGTACCCTGTGGCATGCTAGTTTGAATGACCTTGATGGCAGAACCCAGATGGGCATTTAAAGAGAAAAAAAAAGTACACATTTTTAACTTTTCTTTGAATATTCGACTCTGGGTGGTGACCAAAAGAACAAGAACACGGATACAGGCGGTTGAAATGAGTTTCCTCCGTAGGGTAGCTGGACTCCCTTAGAAATAGGGTGAGAACGTTTAGTTATTCGGGAGACACTGGGAGTAGAATCGCTGCTGCGCCACATCGAGAGGAGCCACTTGAGGTGGTTTGGTCATCTAGTGACGATGCTCCCTGAACGCCTTCCTAGGGAGGTGCTTTGGGCATGTCCGACTGGGAGGAGACCCCAGGGAAGACCCAGGATATGCTGGAGAGACTACGTCTCTTGTTTGGCCTAGGAATGCCTTGGAAGTCCTCCCAGAAGAGCTAGAAAAGGTGGCTGTGGAAAGAGATGTCTGGGCCTCCCTGCTCAATCTGCTGCCCTCACATCCCTATTTCGGAACAAGTGGAAGATGATGGATGGATGGATAGATAGATGGCTGGATGGATGGATATCCTTATAGAGGACAAGTTGTTCTAAGAGAACTGTCTGTTGAAACTTA